ATGAAATCACAACATTTTTACAGTTTACAATGCATGTACGAGTGTTCTATACATGTTATTAAGATAATAGTGGTCCATCAAAGTTCAAAAATACACACTTGCTAAATTTACAGTACAGTACTATCTTACTTGTTGAACATTTCCACCAAGGTGAGCTGCTTGGCTGTTTTCAGACGTTTTTTTGCAGCCAGATTGCCAGGGCCGGATTTAGCATTTTGGCGCCCCTAGGCCCAAATAATTTTCCGCCCCCTAGTCTGGTCACAGATAACATACCCATAGGCCTAAGTTAATTGCTTGAATAACTTACCACTCCTCGTCGGAATTTTACCATTGCAAGTTTTTTGAAGAATTGACTCGTTTAGCCTTAACAAAATGTCGTCTTAAACACTTTTGAGACACTCCTGGTAATATTACAAGAAATTAAAACACACATCATAGAACTAACCCTAAAATAATAGAAACAACGTCAAAACTAATGTCCAGTGTCACCAACGTGAACTAGACATGAAAAAAAATTGAATTTACAATGTGATAGGAAGTCGACTTGAGTTATATTTAATCTATGGTGGTACTGCATCTAGGTTATATTTCCAAAGCAAAACAGAGCAATATTCCGGCCAACCATATCGATCCTTAGGTCTGAGGAGAAAATTACAGGATTAATGGTGCTTTGGAGGGTATTGAGTTTGTTGAAATCCTGTTGCAAACTGAGATTAATATTTTTTCATTAATTTTAAAGATAAATTAATAATTTTTTTAAATATACAATGCAACGTATTATATATTTTAACTTGATCCTGCAGATTGTTGTAAACTAATCAAAAGATTAGTCAATAACTTTTGTTTTGTGAGTTATTTGTTTTTTGTGTTTGGTGTAACAGTGTCTAGCACGCATGCACCCCTAATCACTCAGATCAGTAGTGCAAGGCCAGCTAGTGGCAGTGCAGTAGCAACACGATGCATACCGCTCGGGCGCTCGTCAACATCCCTACAACCTACTCCTATACCAATGTTGTAACGAAATTGATGCGTAATTCTGAAAAATAGTTTAAATCTTCTAACAATTATTTCTTCCTATGAACTTCAGAATCAGAATGCTTTATTAGCTAGAGTTTTTCTTTATAATCTTGACTATTTATTTTTATTTTTAGATATTAAAAAAAAATTCCTCTCGGCCTTGCGCCCTCTGGGAGCTCGCGCCCATAGGCCCGGGCCTACCGGGCCTATTGGGAAATCCGGCCCTGCAGATCGCGCATCCGTTAGTAGTTGTAGGTGATCGCACTCAGGTTGCCGCTCCATCCATCTTAAAGCAGTTTCAAGACAATTGAATGCTTCTGAAGCTGACGGTCCAATATCACTTTCAACTTCCATGTTGACTTCTTCTTCTTCCTCGTCAACAATGTCTTCGGAAACACTTTCAATGATCTCTTCATCACTTAGGATTTGATACCCAGGATCTGACGAATCACTCATGACCCACTCTCCAACCTCTTCAGTACTCACTTCTGAACATCCCGGAATTCGTATAAGAATGTTTCTTAGTTCTTTAAGTGACATATCATCTTCATCTATCTCATTTTCTTGTTGTTGGCCATCTTGTTTTGCTCTCTCCTTTTCCTTCTCTTGTTCGGTTAATAAGCCTTTCAATTTATTCCACGCACGTCTTAAAGTCTCCGTTTTAACCAGGCTCCATGCTTCCGCTACCATGTAAGCACAATCTTTCAAACTTATCTTCTTGTGATTACTCAGAACACATTCTTCATCCTCTCCCTCGACTATAAGTTTTCTTAAAAGCTGCCTTCTGTAGTGGCGTTTCATTGTCTCTATAACGGACTGGTCCATTGGTTACAATAGGCTTGTAACATTTGGCGGTAAAAATTGTTTTAAACTGGCCATTATCTCGTTCCATCAAGTCCTCAGTAGGATGTGTTGGAGCATTGTCTACAATCAAAAGCACCTTACTGTGCTCTTTTCCCAGAGATTTTTGATGTTTTTTTACCTCGGGAATGAAAATTTCGTCATGCCATTCGGTGAGCAATGATGCAGTCATCCAAGCCCTAGGTTGGTTTTTGTAGTGAACGGGAAGTTTTTTAACATTTTTAAAAGCTCTATGCCTTTGAGATTTGCCAATTAGAAGAAGGGGAATTCGGTGGTTTCCCGTAGAGTTAGCACAGTTAAGGACTGTAACACGGTCCTTACTTATTTTATGTCCAGGTGCACTACTCTCCCTTTTGGATGCTAAAGTAGTCTTAGGTAAGGCTTTCCAAACAAGGCCGGTTTCATCGGCGTTGTAAATGAACTCTGGATCGTAGGATTCAGTCACAACTTTAAAGGTTTCAATGAATTGTTCTGCAGCGTTAGGATCCGCCGATAAGTTCTCGCCACTTTAGGTCAAGTTCACGGACACCATGCCTGGACTTGAAATTCCTTATCCACCCGTTGCTTGCTTTAAAAGTCGCATTACCAAGTTTTTCAGCAAATATTTTTGCTTTCTCGTAGAGAATAGGGCCGGAAATCGGGTTTCCCAAAGATCGTTGCTGTAAAAACAGCATTTTCTAAATCTACGTTTGTTGCAGTCTTCATTGATTTTCTTGAAGAGCTTCCATTTTCGTTTTCAAGAACTGATACAAAGTTTAATAGTGTAGCCTTGTTCTTTTTTATGTCCGAAATTGTAGCCTGTCCAACACCATACATTTCAGCTAACTGCCTTCCAGTCACACCTTTGTCGGATTGCTCTAAAATCTTTAATTTATCCGCTAACGATAACACAACGCGTTTTCTTTTAGACGCCATGGTAAACAAAAGTGTCTTGGTCTGTAGCAGGTTAACAACACACTGACGACAGTCTCAATCAGATCAAAGGATATGAGTAGGAAGGGGGAAAGAACACAGTAGCAGTAGCCAATAAAAACCGCGCGTAGAGATAGTGACTCACTCCCCCGCCCTTCGCCTATACGTACTAGTAGCTTCACGGGAGGAACCATATAGGCCATATAGTAGCTTCGCGGAGGGACGAACAGTAGCGCTCAAGGACGTCTGCCGTCTTCAATAACAAATATTTGATATTTTGCAAAACTTATTTACTGTAGCTTTACGTTTTTTAAATTGTTGAAATAAGCGATTCGGATAATCAGTGATTCGGTTAATAGGAGTTTGGATAATTGGAGTTCTACTGTATATGAATGTGTCACATATGAGAAACAAAACATGACTAATACCGGTGTAACTACAACTGCCGGTACACTATACAAAACACATGAGACGTGATGTCGCTCAGCTTGAGATTGTCACGGTTCAACCTCCCGCCCCCAAAATGAGACACTACTGTTAAAACATACATGATTGAAATTTTATGGAGATTGTTTAGTAGAATTTACCTTTTCTATCAAGTAGACCTACCTATAAATTTTAACACGTTCGCTGCTGACCGTTAGATGCCGGGACGGCGCCAGGATCTGAACTAACGCTCGCCGCTAAGTAAACATTGCTGCCGATACACTGTGTGAGGTGTTTATTTCGGGTAGGTTAACCTATCCTAAACTTACCTCCGATTTGCTCGGACAGCTCGAGTAGTCCAGGGTTCTAGCAGACAGCCCCGTCGATCCGTTAACCGCTTCTCGATCTTCGTAGATGGTACCTTCGTCGTCCTACACGCACACTATACTATGGTCGTATGTCAGCACAATGACGCACTGACTAGGAATATATCGGCACTAAATACGATGCTGATATGTGAACTAAAATACGTGGCCAGCTTCTAGGCCTAACAAAAGGAATCGCTTCTCAAATAAAAACTAAAAATAATATTCTCGTAGAAATAAAATGTCGCCCCACGCAATAACATAATAACGAAATGAAATACTTTTGGATAAAATAAAATAAAACCACTTTAGATAAATAAATAAAGTGTAGGCTACTGTGGCACTGCACTCGCAGTGCCGGCCTGAGACATACAATACGCTAATCTCTTACAACTAAGGTGATCGTAAAGAATATTAACTTCTACTCGCCAAAGTAAAACGGAAAAATAATACTAATAATGTAAGGATACAATGCAGTACTTACGCCCGTCAATACTTATTTCGCTTAATATTATCGCCTTTATTTTCGCGCTCGTTGCGTATCGCATCCACAACTTATTCTCGCCGCAGGTCCGTTATATATCTCAGGAGAGGGTGTGTAGCGAACATGCGCTCGCCGTCGACTGTCTCAAGAAATGTCCACTGTCCGGCGGTCTCGGCTTCTCCCCACCACGTCTACGTCAGCGCCCCGAGGTCGCGGCGGCCAAGTCACGAACTAGGAGACTTGACTTGCAGTGGACAAGTTTGACATTGTTGTCGAGCGCGCTCAAGCCTTCGCGGCCTTAAAATAATTAAAACTAACCCCCCTAATAAAATTTGACCATTACAACTGAATTACAGTAAAAACAACAGTTGTTGTACTTGATGGCAATGTTCTGCAATAAAACTGGCTTTGGACATAGTACTAAGTGATTCTGATAGATAGCAGCACTGCCCAGGTTGCAGTCGGTAAATTAGTGTCGCTATCTAGCAGGAAAGAGGTGGGACAAAGCCCTGTTCTAAACGACCCTGGTGGTGATTTTGGGAAACTATATTTTTTATTGTCAGAAAAGTACGTCCCCACGAGCTGCAAAGAAATATAGGACGCTCGTGACGAGCTGGCTGAACGGCGACGTTCCGGAACGTTCCTAGCTCCTGGCGCCGTGGCCCGTTTGACGTTCCGGAACGTCCGTAGCAGCGAACGTATTAAACATCAACCTGTAAGTGTAACAAACAGGTTATCAACCAAAACCTATACCATTTTTTATTCTAAGCTATTATTTATATAGAAAATATTGTTTGTAACGACTCTGATTTATATATTTAAATATGTATTACCAACATTCTTGAAAGCATAGTGAATACATATTTTACTGTATATTTTATCTTTATGATTTTTTACCAACTAGTGGAACTGAATAATTTTTTTTTTGTTTACAGTCTTCAAACTTTACTTACTTGTCAAGTGGAAGAAGGGAAATTTCCTTTTGATCAACAAACTTGTCATTTAGTCATGGATAACTGTAAGTAGCCTTCTGTGCTTACTAAAAAATGTACCTCTACTATAAATATTACTAAGATGTTAAATTACTTGAGACGAAGATACTATACTCATCCCCTGGGTTGTGATGAGTCGCCCAAACACATACTTAATTACAAATAAAAGAATACAAAAACATGTTTTTAATTTCTTATGTTTGTGCCTTTATGTGGGCGTGTACAACATACATCAGTACAGAAGTTGACATCAACACAGTCCTTTGGTGGCTAAATTCAAGTTTATTTTAATTCTAATACTAATCACAACTTTTTTTGTTTAAAAGAGGTTGGCTGCCTCTTTGACTTAAACACTTAATTGAACAAGGTGCTCTTCCTATGCGGTGGGTCACAAGTCTTATAGGAGCCTCATCCAGATCCATTAGGTTTCGAGCCAAAAATTCCCTAAACTTTAGCATAGGCATTTAGGTGTTGTTCAGATTCCTGTAAATAACCCGTGGGTTCACCAATGTGGTTCTCAAGATGATCTCAAGGGCTACCTTTTTGTACCACTTTAGATTTCTACGTAACGTCGTGTGGTCTAGCACACACCTAGGCTTCAGTATTGGCCCATTTCTTCGATTCCTCTTCACTGAATTTAACATGGTACTGTCGTGATTTGAGGATGATGAAACCATTGTTGTGTTTCTCTTATCCGTCCATTTGATCACTTTTGTACCATGCTGGTACTTGAATCCGATTCATTGGTCCTTTTTTAACTTAGTTTTCAATCCTTTCTGTTTGCATTCACTGTTCCACACATCCTTGTTTTAGCTCTAGTAGTTTGTTAACAATGGGGATGCCAGTATAAAAATTGTCAGTAATTCCTTTGTTGAGGAATCCCTCGATCGAGACATTATCACTTTCAAAATCTCCCATTAGCTCTAGTACAACATCATAGGTGTGCCCTTGGGGGCTTGGATAATTCACTAGGGACCCGCCCATCAAATACTTCCGTTACCAGTGGTTCCAAAAATGCACTATTACTGGCATTTACAACAATCAGTTTTGGTCGTTTATTATTACCTTGAAATTTCAAAGCATCAAAGAGATCGGTGTTTATCGTAGGTAACTGTACAACAACCTTGATAGTAATCTTAAGTTTGGTTAATTGAGTAGGCCTATTATATGGTTATTACGGCAGTTAACTTTGGGAACGTCGTAATTGTCCCCTCAATTTCGTGACGAAGCTAATTTCTATTGCGAGTTTCACAAAATTCTAATATCACAGAAAACTTTTGAACATTTAGATTAATCAAAGTCTTGAAATTGAGCAAAAAAAAAAAAAAAAATAAATAAACTAATAGGAACATTAAATTTTGTAACTAATAATACATATGAGTCTTTTAGGTTGTCTTGAAGAGTGGTTGTCCTGTAGAACTCCAGAGTGAAGCCTCTTCTAACTCCATCTCCAGGACGTCTTCAGGGTTTCCCACTATGAAGTAAAAGTTGTACTCCTCTTCAGGGTCAAACAGAATTAAAGGTGGTAAAATCAGGATCATCTGCACCTGCCACAGCCACTTGCATTCCACTGGCCTTAGCCGCAGAATCAGGGCCTAGCGACATCCTTGCTTCTTTGATTTCTGTCTGACGGACTCCTAAGCCTAATAAAACCTACGTCCTGGTCCTGGTCATATTCTTGAATCCAAAGCTTTTATTTAAAATTTGGTAACACTTCTGAGGACCACAATGTAAATAATAAAAGTGACAACTCCATATCAAACTTTCTACTAACGCTTCTGGTATTACAACCTTCCATACATCATTGTTGTTTTTCTTTAATAAAAGTCCATCTTCTATTTCATAATTTAGCAAAGGTTTTGGTAAAACTTCACCATCCTTCTCTCTTAACTTTTGTTGTATTATGTTGTTATATTGTGGGTCCAAATGTTGATGTTCTTTTAAATTTTCTAAGTCTAACATTGTTTGAGTACCTATTTGGTTGTCTTTTCACAGTTGCATCCACTATTTTTGGTTCATCATCACCGTTTCTGTCCTGTGATATATCACTTTTACAGTAGCGGCTTAAAGAATCTGCCACTATATTATCCTTACCCGGACATCTCTCGATTGTGTATTGGTATTCTTGTAAAGCAAGGACCCATCTAGTTAATCGTGAATTGAGCAATTTGAAAGTTTTTATGAAAGTTAGTGCCTTATGGTCGGTTATTATGCGCAGCTTAGCTCCCATCACAATTTATCTGGTCTTGTGAAGACAGAAAAGTATGGACAGAAACTTCTTTTCGGTCGTAAATAAATTTAGCTCATGTCCCCTCAGAACTCGACTCAAGAAAGCGATAGCCCCTTTAACTCCAGGCCGCGGCCTTCGAAGTGGCAACGTCGGAAGTAGAGTTGTAACAGCTGTTTTGTTTGGAAGCAGCTAATGGTATTTGTGTATTTACGAAAACTTGGTTACTGAACTATGAAAATATTTACTCCGCTTTAAATGTATAGATATCGATTTTCAATTCATCTTGTTTTGATTTCAATTCTCTATGTTTTGTTTTCAACATTTTAATAAATTTATGTCCATAAATTTAAATTGAAATGAATAAAATGCAAGCTGATGTCACCTATCTACCATCTTATGGGACGTCTGGCACCAAACAACACCACTTGCGACGTTGCCAATTCTACCAGGCCGCAGCCTGGAGTTAAAGTTGGCCGTGGCCAGTCACAGAATGGGCTGTTGTCTAAAATTCTGTTTTCCACCTTATTTTTTGTTGCTGACCAAGTTTATGGGTCATAACAGTTGCTATAGCTCACAATAGGCTATTGCATTAGTTTGGCTCAGTAAAAAAGTTTGTATATTCAACAGAAATCAGTAATTTAGACCAAAACACTCTGTTGGCGGCTTACATAAACTACGACGATTTTGATTAAATAACTGGTGACAAATTTAACATGGAGATGGAATATCTAGTTGCATCAATAGTCAAAGGTACAACGTTCATATTTTTGTTACTTTTATAAGGTTTATGTTACCTGGCTTCTGTCTACAATCCATGGTAGTTTTAGGAAACTACAGCTGTTTCATGCCTCCAGTAGCGGTTCTAGGACCTTCTAAAGGGGGGGGGGGCTACCGGGGGGTTTGGGGGTTATGGAACACCCCCCAAGCAGGGGGGGGGGTGTTCAGGGTTTTTTTTATTTTCAAGGCCATTTGGTGACTTTCTAAAGCAGTTTTTAACGTCTAAAAGTGTGTTCATTTGTTCCCTGATAATTATGTTGATCTTTATAGAATAAAAAACATTGTTAACCATATCTTACTATACTCTATTTATTTTATACATTTATACACAATGGATTACTCATTCTCCCTCTTCAATCTTCGTTCCAGTTGGGCATCAGCATATATCTTATCTTTTTTAGGGAGAAAATGTCAATCACCTTTTCAACATAAATCTCCACCTCATTGTGGATGTTTGCCAAAGCCAGTCCATTTAGTCTGGTTAGACCCATTGTACTCCTTAGGTAGGTTCTAATGCGCCAAAGAGTGGAAAAGCTTCTCTCCGCAGTGCTGGTTGTAACTGGGATTGTCGTAAAAGTTTGTAGTAGTGTAAATATGTTTGGGACAAATTGTTTGTTGCAGAGTTCCAAAGCTTCTATTGAAGTTGCTGGCAGTGCTGCCTCCTTTTCCCATTTTGCTCTCCAAAGTTTTAGTTCTGATCTGAGAAATGCTGCGTTGTCTAGGAGGGATTCATAGATGTTACTTGCCTTCAGTACTTCCTCTTCACTGTATTTATACCTATAAGAAGGCAACATACCTTCAAGTAATAGTATGGTAAAGAAGTTTTAGGAGAATTGTGTTTTTAGCTCCGAAAAAAAAATGATCCATAACTGGACAGAATATGGACCAGGAAACTTCATTTACTCTTCAACGTTTGACGCAGGAAAATCTTCTCGATGGGTCTGTCTAGAACAGCTTCTTGGCATGGAAATGTCGCTCCCAATGTCCTGCGCTACACTTAAGGCATTTTCAAAAATATTTCCAAACCCTAGTTCCCCAGCCCATCTTCTAACACTTCAAAACTTCCAACACTTCTGTAACGTGTTTCAATGCTACTGCTAGATCAACCTTAGGATTTTGTAGCTGTTCACTAAGTCGTATAGTGATGGAAAAGAAATATACAGTAACTTCTAGAGCAACAAGGAACTCGCCCCTATGAACTGCAGAACCGAACATACAAGCTTTGCTTGCTGTTTCAGCATTTACATCTTTACTGCTTGACAGATTGTCAAGTAAAGTAACAACTGGGATCAGCAATTCCTTAAAAGTAATTAGGGTATCATGTCTCCCGACCCAACGAGTTGGGCACATGGCTTTTAGCTTTGTCTTTTTGGTTTCCGTGACTGGAAGTTGTGAGATAACAGCCTCCAAAGCATTCATTCTATTGGCTGATGCAGATAAAAATGCCGATAATGATCCCTCAATTCCCATCATATTCCTTAGTGTGTATATAGGCAAAGGCTATTTTTCTATTATGCGGGCCTGTACCCCTTTGAACTTTCCGGCCATGTTGGATCCTCCATCGTAGCCTTGGCCACAAAGGTATTAATAGCTCAATTCCAATGCTTCAAGCTCTTTGTTAATGGCTTCTTTAATTGAATGCCCATTTGTCAACGTATGTAACGCAAAACGTCATTTGTTCTTTAGTGTTGATGTCTGTTATTTCGTCACACAAAATGGAGTAAAACTTTGCGTTATTTATGTCATTTGCTAATTTTTCTCTTATGCCTTCTCCAATACAGTCTATTATTTCATTTTGCACAGTATTACTTATCATACTACTGTTTTTGTTGCAGGTATCTAACTAGTGTTTTAAATCTTGATCATCTGCATCAATTCGAAAGGCTAAAAGGCCCTGAAATATTCCGTGGTTACCTCTCAAACTGAAACTGTCCTCGCCAATTTGTCTGAAGTCAGGAATCAATCCGTAATCACGATGCCCCTGTTGCGGTAGATTACTCCTTGCGCAGAAGATGACTGTCTTTACAATCAGCCGTAAACGTTTTCTGTTCAATTCAATTACTTTATTACTCTTGCTATCAATCACCATATCATTTATATTTTCCTGAAAATCCATTGTTTTTTTTTTAATTCAACAGGCTTTTCCATTGAAAATTGACGATATTTTGTTTTTCATGGCGAACCAGATCTTCTTTCGCATTTTTGTATATTGTCATCGCTTCTTTCACAAATGTTTTCAAAGCCTGAAATCGTAGGATAGGGTAAATATAATGAATAAATAGTTGAATGTGTTAATGCATTCTAAATAAAGTAGCATCTTTGAAAACACTATTTAAAAGTTTCGGATTTTATTAGACCACCTTGTATTCAAAATTTTTACTAACACATTTACCTCTCATACTCTTAATCATTTTCCAGCCTTCTTTTACATGAAACAGCTGTAGTTTCCTAAAACTACTGTCGATCGTAGACAGAAGCCAGGTAACATAAACCTTCTTAGTACTAATTTTAACAATCCAGTGGCCAACCATCATTGCATTATTGTTGCAACGCAGCCTTGTTTTAGAGGAGACAATGCTCCAAATCACTATTTTTCTCTAAAGGATACACGTATTCTTGTTAGTGTTAGTTTTTAAATGAGAATTTTTTTTATCAGTCCTGTGCAAGTAGTTGTTGAGCTTTAACAGTGGTTCAATTTGCTTTAAACAACTCTAGTTTGATTCAGTTTGTAATGTAAGGTAAATTTTTTTAACAGGGAGATACAACCTGAGCGTTGTTATACTTGAGTGGGATAGCTCAGTGCCTGTCGTGGTGCTTCCCTCAGTAGCCACAGGACTATCCGAGTTCAACTTAAATGGTCTCAAGGCCTTCACTTCTACAAACCAAACCACCAGTGACACATTCATCACCTCCGTAGGTAACGTTCTTTACTCCTATTCACGTTGAAAAAACGAATTTAGATCTTTACAGTTGCCTACTTTATTTCTACTCTTCCTCCACACTCATCTCCTTCCTTCTACTATTCGTCCACACTCGTCGCCTTCATTTCCACTCTTCATCTACACTCATCTCCTTTGGTTCTACTCTTCCTCCAACTCGTTTCCTTATTTCTATTCTTCCTCCACACTCATCTCCTTCATTTCTATTCCTTCCCATACTCTTTTCCATCCTGTCTACTCTTCCTCCACACTAATCTCCTTCCTTTCTTCTGTTCTATATTTTTCTCCTTTATTTCTTCTCTTCCTCCACCTTCATCTCCTTCATTTTCCCACTCATCTCATTCCTTTCTACTCTTCCTCCACGGTTGCATCCTTCCTTTCTTCTCTCCTCCTTTCTCTTCTTACTCAACTCCTCTTCCGATATCTGTTTTTCTCTGGCACCAGTTATCGATGATGTAAAAACGGCAATACGTGAATGTTGAACATAATTTGAGTAACTTGTATATAATGTCAGATATTTCTGTTTTTGGGAAAATATAGATATTACATTACTATTTATTGCTATGGAACAAGGTGTAAAAATGTCAGGCAAGAGTAGTGTGTATTTATTTATTTCCCGACTAAGTCAAATAGGTAAATTCGGTGAGTCACTTCCAAACGAGGAAGATGAGCTCCGAGTAGTAAGACAGGTTCAAACTCAAAAAATGTGATTGATTTGCAAAATTTCTTTGTAATGATTAGAAGGCCAGTGAGTTATTTCAAAATTTTTCATATAATTTATAACCACCAATCACTTGTTACATTCTGAGTAAATTTTAATATTTATGTGCAGCAATGTATTTTACCACTCACTCACTCACTCCCATGGCCATTTATGCCCAAGGCGGGATTTGGCCGCACCAACAACTGCTTTCCATCTCTCTCGATCTTCTGCCTCTTCCACTTCTGCCCCCACTTCTCTGACGTCCTTGGAAACACTATCCCACCATCTCTTCTTGGGCCTTCCTAATGGTCGTTTCCCTTCTGGCTTTCCTATACTTGCTTCTTTTAGTAGTGAACCTCGTTCTCTCCGTAGTGCGTGTCCTGCCCACCTTATTCTCCTTGCTTTCACGTGTGCTACTACATCATAATCATTGTACATATTCCTTATCTCCCTATTATGCCTTCTTCTCCATTCTCCATTTTCTTGTATTGGTCCATATATCATTCTTAAAATTTTGTTTTCAAAAACAATCATTTTGTTTTCTTCTTTTTTATTTAAAATCCAAGTTTCAGCTCCATATGTTAATACTGGTCGAATTATACTATGATATATTTTTATTTTCGTTTTATGTGAGAGAATCTTTGAAGTCAACAATTTCTTACAAGAATACATACATTTATTGGCCTGAGCAATCCTATAATTTATTTCCATTTCTTCACTATTGCTGCTTGATATAATTACCCCTAGATATTTAAATTGTTCAACAACTTCAAAAATGTATTTTACTATTACAGATAATTGTGACAAGTGGAATAATGACAAACCCAAAGGAGATTTTGAAGATGTACATACTTGTGGTGAGTCTGGTCTTTGTGTTTGTAAGGTAGACTATTAAATTCGAAAATAAGAGCTACTGATAGTACTAAATTGTAATTAACATTTTCAGTATAATTGTCGGACTTACCACTGCACAAAAGGGTGTTGCAGCGTTTTGTACAAAAACAGTTTTTATAGAACAAAAATGGATTTTATTTTTTTTTTTTATTAATAATTTACCATGATTGAGGGGCGGCAATGATAATGACCCCCGTGATCGCAAGAGTTGTTCACAATTTCAACACGATCGCAGGGAAGTTTGGCCTGAGGTGCGGGGTCCGTTCGTGTTAACTTGGCCTTGGGTTGCAAATGCCCTGGCACTGAGTATAAGAAGAAAATATAGATATTTACAACAATCTAAATAGTATTTAATACTATTTACAAAAACCAATACAAAGTTCTTTTAATATTTAGCCCGAGAATACTTATTTCCTCATTGTACTCAAAATTATAAAGTGAAGATTGTACTAATTGTGACATATTCTCTTCTTTTTAGGCATACGCAAGAGCTCTCTCATTGTTACCTTTTATTTCGATAGGAAATTTGGCTTTTACTTCTGGGATTACTATGGACCAAGTGTTTTGCTGGTGATAACATCTTGGGGAACCTTCTGGGTTCATCCTGAAGTTGTGCCATGCCGTATTTGGTTAGGTAAGTGAAGAAATTATATTTCCTCATTCTGTTCTTTTGGTACATTTATTGTGTACTGGTATGTGGGTTGTCTGTAAATTAAGGTCTCCTCTTAGCTCTCGTAGTAGCCAAGTGAGTTTAAATCTGAGACAAAGGTTCGTTTGAGGGGATTAGTTTTTTTTTTGTCGTTGAAAACGTCGGGGAAGAAGATTGATGCTGCTGCCAAGTATACATGCTCTAAAATTATTAAATTTCAAATACAGATACATTTTTGTCAATTTTAGGGATACTCACATAATGTTTATTATAAATTGCTGACTGTTATGAATAAAATGCTGTTTTGAAGTGTTGTATCAATAATCAAATCATTAGAATAGAATGATGATATTTCTATTCATATTTGCTTTTATTTCAGCAACATGCACAATGCTTGGACTTTTTGGACTTGGTGCTATGAATGATGCAATGCCAAAACTTTCTCACTTGAAGATGAATGACATCTGGTTTATTGGATGCAATCTATTCATATTTTTATCACTGGCAGAATTTGCATTCGTTAATATAGTGCATAGACAGGAGTATGTATTGTATATGTTTATTTATTTATTTATTTTATTTATTTACTAGCAGAGTACCCGTCCTTCGTACGGGGTTGGCATATAGGAATAAAATGCTTATTGCAGTTATACTCCAGCTTTGCGTTTTCAATGGGGGAGGACACAGTTTGATTAAATTTGCTTCTTTAAATTTATGGTATACATAATATTACACATCTACCATAGCCATAATGTTCTACCACTTCACCTAAACCACCTAAACAATCACAAATTATTCATTAAATTAAAAACATAAAAAACTGTAAACAATCCTACATTGACAGTTTTCATTGTGTATCACAGCTTTTTGTTGCTGCTTAGTTCAAATTAGCTGTTTGCATAAATGAAAAAAAAGTAATAGTGCTGCACCCTGTTGGTAAATCTTTTAACTTTTTAATGCTTTGCATATTATAGAACCAACTTTTTTAGTTGAAACAGCTGACAAAATTCTTTAATTCCCTTTAAATAATATGAATACTCATAAGGTCAACATGGGGAATTACAGAGCCACTGGGGCGGAGCCCGAAAGGATTTTTGAGATAAGAATATGCCTATATGTTAATCGGGAATGTGAGCTATCATCGTGTCAAATTACAGCCCAATCCGTCCAGTAGTTAATGCGTGATTGAACTTCAAACAAACAAACAAACACAAACTTTCACATTTATAATATTAGTAAGATTCCAACGGATACACCATTTACAAAATATATATTTATTTAATATATATTTAAACACATGAGTAGAATGGAAATATAAAAATTGCATTTGAAATAATAAGAGAAGCTGTATATAGTATTTTATGGTATTTTAAGATTTTCAATGCTAAAATTTGGTTCGAAAAATGTCCTTTTTCATTTGTAACTGATGTGCCTGGGTATCAAATCACTCGGAGATTGAAATTATTGAATAAACAGTAAATAGTTATTCTATTATCTAAAGCTAGTTGAAGATAATGTTTGGGGAAACATAAAAAAATAAATTATTCCTTAAGTCAATCAATCAATCAATTAATCAATTATTTAAGATGGGGACGCCACTATGTGCGTATTTTAACCCAAATATGAGTGAAGGATGAGTTTAGGATGAGTGGCGCGATCTTGTAGCCTTGTTAGTGACTAAGGCCGACATGTTCCTGAGACACAGCTGTTAATTTATTAATTAACAGCTCATACAGCTAATGGCAACTAAGGGACCTACAGTTTATAGTGGAATCCGAACCACATTTTTTCCTTGTAATTTACGAATTGGTCTAATTATCATGATAGTACTGTGGATAGTCGTTGTACTCACTAGTGCGGACGTTAATCCACACCAGGTAGCATCGCATCCACAGTACATCCCTATAAATATCCACAATTCGTGACCTCCTGGGCCCTGTTTCATAAAGATACTAGTCTAGTAATTACTAGTCTAGTAAATACTAGTCCCGTATTTACCTGTCCTACTAATTTGTGTTTCATAAACGTTTTTATACCGCTAGTAAATACTAGTGTATTTTACTAGTCACGTGACCAAAACTACTAGTCACGTGACCAACTTTACAAGGTAAACTTTCAAAACAAATTTCTAACCTCAATCACGGGTTTTCAAACCCTTTATAAAGGGTTTTAAATTTGTTTTCATTTGATACAAAAAGTAAATAGTTGTAGAAACGCAGTGTTTTATTTTAATTAATAACTATATAGACACATAAGTAAAACAATCACACATTATTTATCAAACCGCTATTATTTATGTTCATCAATGAGCCTGCCGACGCGCCGGCGCGGCGCGGCGTCGCGTCACTGCAATCAACACGGTGACTGTAGTAGCCGGTTGTAGGCGAAACAATTGGGTGGAAGTTGATCTGTTGCTGCGTTGCTGCCGCATTCGCTGTGATTTGTATAGTTTTTGTTTTATTCTGACATATAAAATTAAGCTTGCTATAAGTAGAGAAAAGAAGGCTCAAATTTTGAATGTAATTAAATCGTCTAAGGACATTTTGTTTATTGGAACGGTTTCAAGTACCCTTACCTATGTTTTCAAATATTCGAATGCATAAGGATATTTGGGTTAAAAAACATTTGGTGATATTCTAATTTTGAGTCTACAAACCATGAATAATAAGCCTAAACGTTTATTGATGCAACGAATAATTGCAACGCCGTTACAAGCAATAGAGAAGTAGGTTTTCAAGTATAGTAAAACATGGCATAGGCGCTATTGCAGGGTGTAGCTCAGAGGTGGAGTTTTCGCTTCTCATGTGGTGGGTCCCTGGGTTCAAATCCGCACCACTCACTATACTTTTTGTTCCATTAATTAAACTTTTACATGTTTTTACATTAAAAAACAGCTCTAATCAACATCTAATTTTTTTATTACTTTGAATAACAAATTCAGAATACCAAAATGGATTAAAAGTGATGTTTTTATGATGAGCAGTTCAGTCCAACGCCCAAAAATCAAATATAGACCTACAAAATTGTTAGTACATCACAGGGTTTTAGCTATTTAGGGAAGCAAATAATAAGCACCTCAAAAAATACAATGCAACTCCTCTTTAAAATTGTCTTACTATTATTTCCTATTAAAATGTCTTTAAATAAAACCGAGAGCCTTGGGTGTAAAATAATCTGATTAATGTTGCAATGTTGGATACATTTTTGTACATCTTTGTATGCAATATGGTATGCGGTTTTTTAATTTGGTTTATCTCAAAGATTAAAAATCTTTTATCTGTGATAACTAAATAGTTGATATAACCATGAAATTTAACTCAAGTAAATTTAGACTAAAATTTCACAGAAATTGATAACTTATAATTATAATTATTCTAATAGGGCAATTGTACATACATTATAAAATTCAATTTCACTCATTTTGTACTTCGCCACATTTATTGATTGTAATTTACATCTAATAATTATCATTTTAGCACTCACAGATCTATTTTTATCTTAAATTGCAAACTTGAGACAATACGCACTTGAAAAAAGAATTCAATAATTCATTTTTTTAAGTAATGTGTGTAATGAAATAACACTCTTTCCAAAAATACTAGTCTACTTCAAATAATACGGGTGTAGAGAGGTTGTTAGAAAATGACAAGTATTTACCAGTGTAATTTACAAGAGTAAATCTTTATGAAACACATTGCTGTCTACACTAGTAAAACCACTAGTAATACTAGTCCCTACACTAGTAACTAGTATTTTACACTAGTAGGTTTTTGAAACGTAGACTTGTAAAATACACTAGTATTACTAGTCCATGGACTAGTAAATACTAGACTAGTATTTTTATGAAACAGGGCCCTAGTAGCTGGATTACAGGACGATGCCACCCGTCCCAGTAATTAAAACTTCAGAGAGAATTTGAAGTTATTTGTATAAATGATTAAAAAAAAACCATTATATTAAATTAATCTAATACGAAATAGTCCACCAAATTATTATCAATTAATCTATTTTGGAAAATATTGTAGAGTTAATGTTACAAACAATATTTTTAATGCTTGGAACTTTAGGCATAACCAAGCGATCTAAACAACAAAATGAAGAACAACAGAGTAAAGCTTACGATGCCCCAAGCTTTAATGGAAAATCATAGTAGCAGCGTAAACTGTTAAATTTTGGTTTTTGGTTGATTTATTATTAACATATCAAAATTAATTTTAAAAAGTTATTCTTGAATAAGAAATTAATTTCAATACAGTTATAACCTGAACAGTTATGACTACCTACCGTACCTATACAGGGTGTCAGGTCATAAGTGTTAAATAAAATTTTGCATCAAACTACATGGTAATGGCGACATAATGACGCACATTTGAGGTTCACAACCTCAACCGTTAGGGAATAACAAATAAATTAAGACTTTTCAAAACTTTTGTAGTTGTTATGAAAAAGGTTATATTACTCTGTTAAAAATGCACTAATTGTTAATTTAAATGTCATTTTCAGAATCCTCACAAAATTTTAAATAGATACAACACATAATCGTTGGGGTACAGAAAAAAATTCTATTTAAATTTCTTCGTTTAACAATTATTTTTAATATTGACGAAAATTTAAATAACATTCAGCAATTTATTTCTCGGTTACCGAGTTCCGCTGAGCTAAACAAATATTACTAAAAACTTCCTTATTTAAAGGGCTTTACAATGATGTATAACTACAATTATCTACTGTCAAATCTATGGTGAATTTTATGTACTATTGTGAAAAATCACGGTTAAACCAAAACAGATATTGTAAAAAATAATTAATTTTACTTACTATTTTATGAGCTGACCACTGATGATGAGGGTTTGTGTAATTAATGATTGACCAGACTACACTTTCATCAAACTAAAAAGTTTTTGTTTAGACTTTGGAAAATTTGTTATTAAAAAAACACAATACATTGGTAAAAACACACAATACAAATAAAATCTATGACATACTTCGTCCGAAGCACAACTTAAGGTGGAATCACAGCTGGGTGTAAAGTGCCCTCCGTTTTCCCGCAAGCAGGCCCTAGCTCGCTTGTGAATTGCGCCAACTGTGACCTTGTACGTCAATTTTTCCCTTACTTTCCCAGCAGCCTCAAAGATTCTCTACCGTAACTCAACGTCAGAGTTTACAACAGTCGAGTAAACTAGACATTACATGTAACCCCAAACAAAAGAATCTAACGGGCTCAAGTCTGGAGATCGAGGAGGCCATGTCACACTTCCTCCACGTCCAATCCATGTCGGGAAGTTTTGGTATAGCCACAACCGAACTTCCGCGAGTTAATTTAAATCTTATCTGAAATATGAAAAATATACGATAACCGTTAATTTATCACAAACACATTTTGCTACTATATGTTTCTTTTCTTGGCTTAATAGTTATAAAAAAGGCGTTGCATGCGAGAAAAAAATACAAGTTATTCGTTGCCTGCAGTTAAAAGTATTAACCTTCACAATAGCTTTTCTTTGCCCTACCATGTTTTTTCACAACAATGATTGAATTACAT